GCTTCCAGACGGTTCGAGCCGACAGGGACACCACCACGACCAGCAAGAAGAAAGCAGGGGGACTGGCCGTGCTCATAAACAACAGGTGGTGTAACCCCGGGCACGTCTGTGTGAAAGAGCATGTCTGCAGCCCGGACATCGAGCTCGTCGCCGCCGGACTTCGTCCATAGTGTCTGCCACGGGAATTTTCCAGTGTTATCGCCATCACTGTCTATATTCCTCCATCTGGGAAAGCAGAAGCAGCATGCGACGTCATCCACACTGTGACTGCAGGACTACAAATGAAACACCCTGAGGCCTTCATCATCATCACAGGGGATTTCAACCATGTCACCACCAGAGACAGTAAGACCTTGGACCTGCTGTATGCAAATGTTCCTGTTTTTTATATCTGTATTTATTTCACTCAAATGTTGCTGTGACAAGTGAATTTCCCCATTGTGGGATTAATAAAGTTATCTATCTATCTATCTATCTATCTATGTACCGGTATACAGGGGGAGGGGATCAGGCCGTGAGTGCAGAGACGCAGAGCCGTATATAGAGACGGCTCTGGTGAGTGGTATTTACGACAGTTAACGTTAAATACAAGTACTCCGCAGCGACTCTAGGGGTAGCTGTTTGACAAAACCGGAAAACTGCATAGTATGCCTTTAACGTCCACAGAGATTAAAATGTTTCTCATAAAGTGTGTTATTACCCCGATGAACATAATGGCCTCACAATAAGAGTGTTTCTTCTTTATATATATATATATATCACAACAGGCTTTCTCATCTGCATGTACCTTCGAAGCAAGTGAAGTTGGCCAGAGATGCCTCCTCTGCCACTGGACCCCCACAGTCATAAAATACATGTATACTTCATTTATGTGATGTAAATCATAATGAAATTAGATGATTGCTGGGGTGGGGCATAACACAGTTGACTACCCTTGTGAATTGTGGCAAGTTGGAAAATGTCAATACTTTCAAAGTTTTACTTCATGACTGGCAGGACTAAAGTGAGCAGGGTGAAAATTCGAGGGTTCAATAAAATGGGGCATCCTTTTGTATGATGGTATGAAGATACACTAGCTTACAGCTAAAATACACATTCATATTTTGTCATTGTTTGTTATTTTGTCTACATGTTGACCTGTGTCTTCAAATGCTCTCACATGTAGCTGTTTAGAAGCTGAAGTTGTAATTATTAAGGTCTTAATGCTGTGGTGTATATCCTACGGGCTAGCTGTCAGCCTGTCTCTGAGCAGAATGAAACGATATTCTAGATAATAAATCAAAGTGTCCGTAAGGTTCGCTGTCAGAAATGTCCGCACTGTCTGAGAAATAGAGAGACAGAGACAGAGAGGAGGCAGTTTACTCAGGATGAAGACAGGAGAGAAGAGGAAGATGAAATGAAGGCAGAAATGAGAACATCTACAGGCTGCAACGTTCATTACACACCAAAAGACGTATATCGTCATGTTGTGACGTACACGGTCTGCTTAATTGGAACATTGCAAAGGTTGCTGCTCTGACCCTCCACGAGGAATGGTTATTTCCCAACAGGGATCAATACTAAATACCATTATATTATGTGTTGTTGTTGTTTCCCTTTGCGTCTAACACCTGCCTGGTGCTTCACTTTCTCCCTCTGGGCACAGAGAGCCATTTACAGCAATTTTTATAAAACACATAAACTTCACAGCCCTATCAAGCAGGTTATTACTATATTCCTGTCCTTTCATACAGACTTTTACTGTGTTTTTGATCAATGGCTGGAGTGTGGCAGTAATGGAGCCGGGGCTACGGCTTCCATTTTTACTGGGGACACCCACACACTATAAATCGTGTGCACTCGTGGCCTTGCGAGATGCATCGGATAAAAGCATCCACCAAATGGAATAATAGATCAACTTTTGCTTTCAACAGTTCCCATTCCTATTTGTTTGATCTGGCTTCATCTGGACTATTTATGCAGTCTACTTTGCAGTGTGTGTGTGTGTGTGTGTGTGGGTGGGTGCGTTTTGTCTTATCTTCCTGGTGCAAACACAGTTCAAGAATTTAATTCAAACCGAAAACAATGCATTTACGTTTCCTTTATAGAGAGAACCACTATATCATAAGTATGGAAACGTACTTGGTGGATAAAAAATACGTCTAAATGTATACATAGAAGATAAAGGTTTTACAGTAGATGCTTAAGCTTTTATGTTCAAGTGGTGTCCCTTTTATTATAAACATTAAACATTAACATTAGTTTAGGCAATAGTTGGTGCTTATTAATTGCTTTAATAGGACGTGCTCTCGAAGGAGTAAAATTTCACAAATTCATTTAAAACACATTCATGCAAGATCATTATTATAATCAGAGTAACTAGAAGGCACACAGAGTGCAAACCCCTGCTATGGCTGAAGAGTTTTCCAACATCCTGCTGTACTCTAAAGCCTAATTTGAATCACTTAAATTTTAAGTCAGATTGATTTCTTGGCCTTGCAAACAGCCTCAGGATTTAAAAAAAATCAAATCTCTGCTCACTTAAGAGTTATGATTAAAACATGGAACTCATCTAATGGCAGAAATCCCAGAGCCAGATCACCTCCAAAATGTAATCAATCGTTGTTTGGGCCATTTGTTGTTTCTCAAACAGATGGATTGTCAAAAAATAAGTATGCACGGGAGATTTTTTCCTTCTTCTCATCCCTCTTTGTGCTCCGCCAGACTAAGAGCTTGCTGTCGTTTCACCAGGCTGACTAAGCAAGAAAGTATCAAACTGCTTCTGTAGGCAGTTCCATGCTTTATACCTCTGAAGTTCATAATGTCAGGGTTTTTTTTCTCAAGCCATACCACAGTATCCATACATTTAAACACGACAAGAAGAATGTAAAATTGTCTACTGTCTTATGAAATGTTGCAGATGACTTACACATCACACATATTTAAAAGCAACAAGATTTCACTGTATTTCATTCGGAGTCAAAGTGAGTTTTTAGCCATGCTGGCAGACAGTGTCTGTTTTGTTGGTCAGTCAGTCCATCTGTCCACCACTTTCTCAACAACTATTAGAAGATACATTCTTTTGACTTTGGTAATCCCTCATTTGACTGCCACAGGTGGAGTCAAATTCCCTTTATGTGTACACAAACTTGGCCAATAAGGCTGATTCTGAATGTAAATTCTTTAGAAATGTTCATGGTGGCCGAGGATGAATCCTAATGACTTCAGTGATCACACGACAAGAGCAGGTCAAAGTTTTCACTTTTTCAGTCAAATAGCTCATAATATACAAGATGAACTGGCACAAACTGTAGAACATTCATGATTCACCACGGACAACTCCTAATGATTTGGGGATCCTCTGACTTTTCCTCTAGCCCCGCCATGAGATTGACATTTGTGGTTTTTAGTGAAATGTTCAGACAAATATTGGATGGGCTGCCAAACATTCATGCCCCCTTCAGGATTAATTGTAATTACTTTGGAGATTCCTTACCTTTTCATCTAGCACCATCATCAGGTCAAAATTTCAATGTGTATAATACTGCAGGATTAAACAAATTTACATTACTGCAGTAAGGTTGAAGACACATGTATGTGTGAGGTTTTTTTTCAGATTTTTCAAGATTTCCCAGAAATCTTATGAGCTAATGAGTAAACACTGCACCTCTTGGATCTGCAGAAAATCTCTTCTTACCAGCTGGTGAAGAGGTTAACTGTTTGTTTATTAGCAGTCGCTCACTGCTGTTCAAGAGTCCGTTTTGTATTTTCTCTTCAATTTGTGATTTATCACTTCCTGCAGGTTAAGCTGATTTTCCTCTAGTGTCCAAACCCAGTTTAATTTGGACAAACAGGGTGAATTTATTCAGTCCTATCAGGAGGACTGGGGTGCTGTTCTCTGTTGTAATTTAGGCTGAAAATGCAGGTGTGTTTTTGTATGAATATTGTAAAATGTATTCTCCTGTCATCATGCATTGCAACTGTTTCTCCTGTTCATAACTCAAGGTAAGGTCCTGTAGGTGCAGACACATTTTAATTTCTCTCCTCCTTTTAAGGTATCATATTATTGTTATCACAATGTTTGGAATATGAATGTATGTTCCCTGCACACTTTTGCTGTGTATTGCTTGTTCTTATGTATTAAAGAAAAATGTCTTATACCTTTTTAATGAAAGATTTCACCTGCCCACCTGTTGTTCGACTCTAATCATTCATTCTTTCTTTTCTTTTACCTGCCTCTTCTTATCTCTCTATAGGTTACACTTTTATCTTGCTGTCTTCTTCCTCCCACCCTGTCCTCAGCCTCCTTGAACTGCAGAATGTATTATGATTAAACTGATTAAACCAGTCTCCCTGTGAAAACTGTCTCTCCTATCATTGTCCATTTATCCTTTCACAATCGTGTCCTTTTTACCTCTATTATATCCTACAATAAATGCAGATTTGTTCCCCTCAGCTCTATGTGGCTGTCTTATATTATTAGTATCACTGCCTAATCTACATTGGTAATTATCGTTTTTAATAAACAAATAAATGTAAATAAAGGCTTAATTTTTGAAATACCCTTCAGTCATAACTGATATCAGTGTTCCTCTCTGTGCATCCAGACTTCTTGAGCCTACCTTAGCACAAAGGGAAGCAGGGAGAACTGACAGGGTTTGTCAGAAGTGAAAAACTAGATCTACAAGTCAATAAATAGTTTAGCTTGATAGCTGGCAAGCCTGTCACAAGTCCATCCAGGAGTCACTAGGGCTTTGCTCAACAGTTGCTGCTCAAGAAACACCTCCTATGCATACCACTTTATGATATTTTTGCTTTAATAGAGCAAGATTAGCAGTTTCTTCCTGCTTCCAGTCTTTATGCCAACTTACGCAAAACACATCCTGTACCTACTCTGTCACTGTACTAGGCTGTGCCCTACTTATTAAGTCAACTGTGATGTTTTTTCTTACTACATATTTAACTTATTTCTTTAATCTCTTTTCTTCCATTTCTTCTTCCCTTTTCTCCAATGTGTCTAGTTGAGTGCATTGTGGTTTTACCTGAACCGAGGAGTCACTGGGATCCTGTCTTTGGCACCTGTGTCTTCCTCTTCTCCTTTCTCATCCCTGTGGCTATCATCAGCATCTGCTACAGCTTGATGGTCAAGCGCCTGCGCAGTGTTCGCATCCTGTCGGGCTCCAAGGAAAAGGACCGCAACCTGAGGCGCATCACCAGGATGGTCCTGGTGGTGGTGGCAGCATTTGTTGTCTGTTGGACCCCTATCCAGATCATGGTCCTGGCTCAGTCGCTGGGCTTCAACCTGAGCAGCTTGTTCACGCTGGTGCTGATGCACTTCTGTATCGCGCTGGGCTATGTCAACAGCAGTTTGAATCCTGTGCTTTATGCCTTCCTGGATGAGAACTTCAAGCGCTGCTTCCGCGAGTTCTGCAACCCATCGCCATTCCGCCTTGACACACAGCAGTCTGGCAGGATGAGGAGCATCGCTCGGGAAGTTGCGGCAGCCTACAGCTGCAAGGCTGGAAATGGTGGGGGGCCTGGGGGAGGGACGCCTAATCCAGCATGACTAGGCGTGGAGCTCCCTTTGGTGGGGGTAGACCCCCAACAGAGGAGAGAGGCCCAGGGGAAAGGTAACTCGAATACAGAATTGACTCAGATTACAGCTCTCTAGCGGCACGAGCCCCCCCGCCCCCACACTAGAAGACTGGCCTGGGGTGGGGGGGAGGGAGATGAGGAGGATGGGATCGAAAGGAAAAGAATTTAGAATGACAGCCATAGGCTCCATAGGGTGCCTATATGGATGGAGGGAAATGGGATGCATTGAAAGCTTGGGTGGGAAGGGTGATGAACATGTAGGTAGGAGATGGTGCCAGATATGGGAGTAGCTCAGACCATTGTGGATCCTAAATCTTGGAACGTTTATGTCCAAACTCCACTGAGGCTGTAAGATATATGGAGCTACAAATGTTAGGAAACCTCAGTAAGACTTGTTCAAGGATTCAACTATCTTGAGGTGGATGTAAACACAAGAGAGGTGACAGCATTATTTGGCATGTACTAGAGCCCCCAAAACAACCACCTTGCTAACAGAAATTAGATCTGTCAACTGAGGTTGGTACCGACTTGCTGCATCTCTAGAAAGATTCCCAAATCTGTACTTGGGTTTGATACAGTAGGGGTTGGGGCTAGATATTTGAGGAGAACATACATATAAACAGCATGGGATCAATAGAAGGAGCTGCAGATACCAAAATCCTTGAAACCACCATGCATGACTTTGGTGATTGTAGGAAGATTATAAACAACATTGGAAGCATGGAACATGGCTATCTGGTGGTAAGGACCACGGACTGAAGACCAAGGAAGAGCAAAGCTTTCTAGAAGTGTGAAATGGAAAACACTTTCGCCACAGTTTATTGTATCTTTATCAGAGGAGGTTTTATGAGTGGGAAGTGGTGAACAAAATGCCTTGTGTCCTACACTGATCCCAGTATGGGGTCTTTATTGTGATGGTTTCTCTAAAAATGGGTCTACAGAATGATAATATGCTGCTGAGCCCTTATTAAGACTTAAATGGGCACACAGTGTAATGTGATATTTGAGACTAGACAGGAAGTCAGACTTGTGAAAAGAACAATGTGCAACAAGCTACTCTTGAACAATATTCTTAAACTGTGTCTATGGACCCAGAATGGGTCACATGAGTGTTATTTCTCATAGGAGCAACATTTCAGTGTGTCCTGGAAAAACTAAGCCTGAGAAAACCTGTCCTAAAACAAGTTTCTTAGAGTTTTTGTGATTTTTGAAAACTTTCTATAATCACCTGTGGGGTGTTGGAAATTTAGTTGGGGTGGGGGTGACTGCCTGTCTGTCCACATATGAAATGTCAGTTGCCCTGTATTCAAGGGTAGAAGTACCCATATCAAATTTGCAGACAGGACTTGAAAAGTTTGCCATAAATATAATCTTTGAACATGACCTGGGCAAAAATAATGCATTCATAAAAACATGTTTCAAGTATTTGTTTCAAGCACTTACAAAAAGCAACATTTGTCAGACGGCAATTAATTGATTAGTGGAAATGAATACGTATTTCTTAATTGGGATGAAGATTGAAAAACAATCCTCATATTTTGAAACGTGTTTACCAGACGGTCTTTACAACACATCTGTGATTGTAACACCGAAACAAATATCCTGTGTGGAACTTTGCAGGACAATATGTTTAAAAGCTAATATAAGGACATTTTGTAGTTTTTATTTCTGGTTAAAAGATCAAATGAACAAAAATATAAATATTCTGTATTTTTACAAGTAGAAGTTCAATGTTGGGACGTTAGCTTATTCTGAGACATCCTGTTGAAACACTAAAAGCATGCTTGCAACTTAATCTGGTTAAAGTTTCCATGATACCAACCATGGAAATTAGGCATTTTGGGTAAAAGCAAAGTGAACAAGACGAACAATATAGTCACAGATGTTTTGTAAATGACACATGTGGGTGTATTGTTTTTCCCAGGTCTGCAGCTGCTGTCACATTTTGGGAATCAGGTGAAACGGATCGGGGTCGAGATTGGGTGTGGGAGTGTTGGGTTTGAGATATTTTCAGGTGGGGACTTTAACACTGGGCAGGGTTGGGAAGGGGTGTTACTAGTGAGTCACTGGGACTCACAGCACCACAGTGGCAAAGCAGGAGGAAGGGGTCACAGTGTTCTGACCCCACTCCAAGGGACAAAGGGGCTCTCTCTCTTCTTAGTGTCTTAAAGAGGAAATCAACCCTGAAACAGAAACCACATCAGATATTTTTATTTCCCTGGACAGTTTTGGAAATTATACAAACTCGATACAGCATTTAAACTTCTAGACATTTTCTGGGACACAAAAATATCAGAAATATGAAGCATTATGATGAAATTATAACAATTTCATGCAAAATATAATATGATTTACTTCTGTTTTAACTGGGAATTTGCCTCCCACATAAAAAGTCATCATTGACTATTTAAATTAAGTTTTTTTGTTTTGCTTTTTAATAATTCCAGTTGTATTTGTAGTAGTTTTATATGGGCGATATTGTGATGATAAAAATGTGGTCTTTCATAAACATTTGCAAAAAGCATTATGTTAGGAGAAAGAAGATAAATTATTATCTAAAACCTATTTACACATTTTGTCTGGCACTGCTCATTACAAATCTGTTTCTCGAGAACAATCAAACATTATTTCTAACTTTGACATATTCGCCAATTCAGTGATATTTTTAAGTAATGTTTTGGTGATGCTCGAGGTTTGCTGTGAGGAATTAAACTAAATGACATTTTTGAAGTTATACACTTTCACATTCAAGATATTCCTACTGCTTTGATGGTTTTCAGCATTTAGTGAGGCGGTTTATTGTTTAACTGTCGACACTGTAGGAATTAACGTGTGGATTCTGTTTTAGGGTTGCTGTCCCCTTTAATTTAATATTTGTGTCTCTTCATAGAATTTTGATTGGTTTGATTGGTTAAGATGTCTTTACTTTGAATCCAAAACATATGTTTGTTTGTTTTTTTACTTATTTTATTAAATTAACAGAATGCGATTCAGGATAGCAAGTTGACACCAGTTGTGTCACGAAGGGTTATGGTTTGTTGTCAACTGTATAGTTTCAAAGTTATGTCTGTATAAACCAGTTTATTTGCTGCAGCTACTCTTTGCAGCACATATGAAATTGTTCATTGTCTTAATTTTGTCTTCTTTCTTTTGAGAGGAACAATTCTATGAACTTACATTGCCTTAAATATCAAGTGAAGTCTGTTACTGAAGCTCGCTCTCTGGCTGGATAAAATGTGTTATAGTTATTACTGGTGCTTCGCTGTTAGTTTATACTAGTCCAGGTCTGTATTCATAAAGCCTCTGAGGACAGCAGTCATCTGCAAACCAGAGAACATATTAATTTTAGGTTTGTATTTCTTAAAATAGCTGTCTTTGGCCTACTTTATTAATGGCTGGCACTTTCTAAAATATCAGAGCTTAATCCAGTGTAATTATCTTTTGGCATTGGCAAGTTGAAATGTTTCTTCCTTCCTCTCCCACAAACTTTGTACACTAAAACTGCGAGCTTAAACAGCCCCTCAAACTGCATTCATCCATGATAACGGCTCTTTCAACAGTTTGACTCTGATTGGTACCTTACAAAGGGTTAAACTGAGTACACAGACACCATAAAAAAACTGGACAATGATTTTCACTTCTGTAGAATATTATGATGTGGTTACCTCTTGTAACCTCTTGATAATGTCAGCTTCTCACCTTTCCACCGTGTGAATTTAAACTCTACACTGAGAACAACAGTGTTTTTCTACAGGAAGCAGTTACTGATATAGGTCAGGTGGCTGGGGACACACTAGCTCCAGCTCTGAATGCCACAGATACTTCAGATATTGTATTCTACCATTAATTACTTGCCACTGGATCTCAAGGTATTGATCTAAGTACATCATAGGTCACATAAGAAGAAATTTAGTCTGTTGTAGCTCTTTTTGTACAGTTTCACAAAACCAGCCAAATATTCGTTTTACTTACCGTGGTCACAATAGACACAACTTTGTTGTGACATCAGTTCATGTAGGCTGCACAACAGATGATTGACAATATTCTCATTCACCTTAATATCAGTATGAACTGTTTGCACTCCTGATTGAATCAACACACCACTCACTAATTGGTTTGGGTGTCAAATTTAATCTAAAATATCTTTATAAATCAATTTCTGCTAAAATCTAAAATAGTCCATAGAAAAGGACGAGAAACCCTTTTTAATTGTACTTCCATGTATAACATCCACTTTAAACATAAACTAAATGACAACTTGATTTATACTGTGGCCATGAACAAAACCTTTGCAGCCACATTGCTAATTCATTCTCTCTTGTGAAACTAATCTAAGCATGGCCACAAAAAAAGCTTTTAAAAACTGATGATGACTTAAACATGACTTTATTTAGATCACCATGCCATAAACACAATAATACACACTCGTCTTTGCCTCCAAATTGTGCATTATTTATACAAGAGTGCCTGCAAATCCCCCAACATTTTATTTCAGGTCACTGTGAGTGCGACTCAAAAGTGAAAAGAATTAAGTTGCAAATTATCAGAAGTGGGCTTGGAATGAAATCGGGGGTTTTGGAGGGCTACTTGGTCTAAAGAATCAGAGAGTGAAAGTTTGAGACTTTTCTTTACTTTGCCACAAATTATTGATTTAAAATCTAAAATTTAATAACACTAGATCAACATAGTTTTTAGCACTGTTGACTATTGAGCTCAACATTTTTACCCTACCTCTGGTATGATCAAGTCTGTCTGTTCTGTTCTGAGATAGTTTTATGAATACTGGTCGTCTTTTGTACAACCTAGCAGACTTTGTGTAGGAAAAATAGCCGGAGCAACAAGGACACTGGCTCCGACATGACTCACCTTTATGAAGACGTGCTATAACGCAGCTGCGAGGCTCTTTGTGCTTAACTGTCACTGTTAAATTGAAAACGCAATGATATTTTGTATTACTGTTTGGTGTTTTTTGTAGCACAAAACTACATAAAGAGGACTCCAAGAGGGCAAAATCCTTCTGTTTAACAATGCAGAGTGAACATAAGTATACTGTCTGTTAGCTCTGTATAAACATTCTGTTTGAATATTACACTTATGTAAAAGTATAAAACATATTCTGATCATCATTAAACGTCTGACCTCTTTCTCTCGTTATTCTTGGTGTATAATTGAAAACTATTTCTCGCCAACCGTAACAGTATGTATTGTTACCTCCGTGCGTCCGAACGCAGGGAGATTCCTTTCATTCGTTTACATTTTACAGACCACATGAATGTCAAATGAAAAACCTGTTGAAATCCAAATCTAAGAAGAAGAAAAAAACATACAATGTTGATGTTGTTGTTATTACTATTATTGCTATCAAAAGAGAAAAACAGTGTCGCATTAGTGTTTTTTTGCTGTGCGGGAGACTGTCTGGTATGTATCTTTGTATAACTTGTGGACTGTATTTTTGCTCACTGCCTGAGTCATGGAATGAAACAGCTCTTAGGGCTCCAAAATGAAAGAATTTTTTCTTCAGCAAGAGTTGTTGCCGTCAAACCTTGAACCTAAAACTTGTCAACCACAAATCCACCCACAAGTGTGATCCGCAGTGATCACAACACTTGAAGTAGTTTTGAGACTTCTTATCTCTTTTTGGGGGTTGGGACTAAGTCAGGGCATCAGCTTAGTGCCAAAATGTATTATTTGTTTAAATATTAACTGATGCTACCTAGTCACGATTTGAATTTATTTGAATATTGGTTGTGATTGGTTGGCAGAGCTGTTTATGTCACATGACTCTGGCTGTAGCTACATAAACGTACTTGTTCCTGCTCTGCAGATGGCAGACTGAACTACCATGCTAGCCGGCTTGTTGTCAACGCATAGAGACTTTTTGCTGAAGCTTGAATTTTAAATTGTATATTTTTCTCTGCATATGAAATGAATAAATAAATGATGGCCATGTATGACTCATTGTTTTATTGTTGTGACTGTTTCTCAGGCGGATTCTAGATGGGTTGCAATGAATGCATATAAAATGCATACAAAAGTGTTATCAAATATTACAGAAATGTCATTCACTGTGCAGAAACACTTTTAATGTAGTTTTTTGTTCTCCTAAACTATTAAAAAATCTAGTTATACAAGCAAATTTGAATATATATTAAATGTCAAAATGTTTTCTGTGAAAAAACGTCTAAAGTCTTGGCCTTTTGAAAACTAGGAGAAGGAGGGGGAGGAGGAGGGGGAGGCTTTTCCAAGTTTATGTGGGAGATCCAAATCAATCAAACCTGTTTATAGTTACAGACAGTTACAGACTACCAGCATAGAAACACATCAATCTTAGTCACCGACAGCAACAACAGTCCTTAGCATGTATATCAGTTTTAGAATGAGTCACAGTCTTTCTACAATACTGTCTGTATGTTTTGATTTAATATCAATAGTTTGCATCTCCAAACTGCACACATAGAACCATGGCAACATTGTGTTTAACAATTGTTTTGTACTGATGTTAATCCATTAAAAAATGGATTGACACAGAACTCAACATTTCTATTCAATTTCTTGTCAGTTTGAAATGAATATGTCTGTGCATGAGAAAAGGTTGTCTGCATGTAAATATTAAAACGGATAATATACAGGGACAGAACAAATATGCAGCAGTATTGCAGTTTGCATCCTTTGTAAAGCATCCTTATTTGTATTATAGAACTGTCTACAGCTGTATAGTTTTCAAAGTATTGTCTTTTTGTGAAATCAACAGATATATGCAGTTAAAAAGCCCTTCTCCCCTGTCCCTGTCAACAAAATAAAAAACCTTTTTTGATTACATTCAAAGTATTGAAATTCACTTATATAGAATGGCTTCACTACAATGAGTGTATTCATCCTGACATACTTAAAGGTGCTCTCTACACAGAATACATTTTATTATTCTTATTATTAAATGTACTTATCCAAGGTTTGTATGTTGCACAGCAATATTGTAGGCAATCATGTCTTCCATGCAATCTGTGGCATTAACAGACGACTTTTGTTCCCTGATTTTAGTCTTCAAGGTATTGCCTCCTTCCAGACAGCATAAGTACCCACATAAAATGGTACCAAGCCTGGAGAGAAGCAACATCTAAAGGACAAACTTAGGGAGAAAATGTACCTTCATCTGGTTGCTACAGCAGCCTCTGCACCTCAAGGGGTGCGTTTACCAAAGTAAAAATGTCAATATTGTAAATATTATTTTACAAGTTAGAAGTTACTGTATACCGACCTGTATGGACACCACTGGACCACTGCTGTGAACTCTTCATTTCATGCGGGTAGAACAATGTACGTGTTTCCCTGGAGGACACTGTAAAAAATAATCAACTCAAGAGTTTTTCATAAACAACAATTTGACCTTTTGAAATAGTTTTACAGAGTTCCTGGTAATGGCTTTCCAAGTAATTGTGAGAGGAAAAAGGTTAAAGCAATTTCCCAATGTCAGCCTTTCAGCACTTAAGGCCATCTGTTTTCATCCTGTATTTGCACAGTGGCTACTAGAGCTGCTTCTTGTGTGTTTCCTATATATTGCTCTTGATTCTGAAGTGGCAGTCCAATGACGCTGTCAATCAGAGCAATACATTTACTCCTCTTGAGATCAACATTAAATTTGCTGTTGATATTCATGGTTCCTAGAGGACAATCCTAATGATGTCCTTCTGTTCAGTACCATTTTCAGGTCAAATTTTCATCTTGATAAACACTTTGATTGTGACAATTGGCATTTACTTTGGATACTCATGCTCCCTATAGGATGACCCCAGTGACCACCTGATCTTTCCTCCATCAGGACACATTTCCCATTTGCACTTTGTATAAATATCAAATACAGACAACACAAAGAAAAAATATTGTCTTTAAACACAAAGCATCTCATAAATTAATAGGCATGCTGCCTTAAAATTGAATTAGTACATTAATGCCTCCAGGAGGATGGACCTTTTCATTTCAGGGACCCCATGACCCTTCCTCTAGTGCCACTCTCAACATAACCTTTATGTAAATGCTCACTGTATTGAATGATCTGGCAATGGTTTGTTTGTTTTGTTGGGTAAAAATGGACAAGAATCAGGGAATTAGTAGCAATAATTAAATTGTTTGTCTTTGTTTTATGCCTCTATTTTGCACCAAATCAGCAGAGTATGCTGACAATGGAAATTAACTTTTTAAAAAACAACCAAAACAAAGTTTCAACCCTACTGCCATTATGTCTCATTGTTTCAATTAATTAGCATTTTGGATTGGCGCAAAATAAACCACAGTGGCTATGGTCAGGATCACCAAATGAAACAATGCAGCTCACTGATGTGCTTTTAATAGTTTTGGACAACAATGGAGATCCAAGGCACAGAGGAATTGTTTAAATCTGCCTTTAGATACACAGACAATATGTTATGGTCTGACCTGAGCCCATCAAGTCCTGAACCTCACCTTAAACTTCTGACCCCACCTTTCAACCACTACTTCACAAGTCTGCAAATTGCTCTGTGAAGGTTGAGGAGACGGTCATCTTCCCTGTTCTCCTCTCCCGCAGTGAATGAAGTCTGGGTGACAGGGAGGTTGGGTTCACAATAGGTTGCCTGTCATTGAAGCTTAGCAAAGAAATGAAATTTAGGAGGAGAAGGGGGAGGGCATTCTGAGTCTCTGGCCAGCTGAGCTCAAGTGGTAACCACAAATGGTGGAACTCAGATTCTAAGAACTGTATACAACATAAATAAGACACGTGTTTCTGTCAAACAATCAGACATGACATAGTTTCAACACAAGTAAGTGGGTTTGGAGGAACACAGTTGCTGGGCAATACATAGGTCAGGGTGCAGAGGCCTTGGTGGATCGAGTGTCATGTAGCCAATGCAGATCCCAAAGTCAGGATATTTCAGAGTCGAGGATTTCTTTAAGGATTGCTGTGTGACACTAAGTTTGTCAGTTTGTAATAACTAAACATCGTTTGGGCAATACAATACTTTATTTTATTTAATTTTGCATTGGACAGGACAATGGACAGAGACAGGAAAGGCAGGGGAGAGAGCGAGGACTAGAGGGTACCTCCAGCGTCATTTTGAAGCATTTGATGAGTTGGGAGTGAGAATGTGTTGGGATCTATTAACAATAAGAAATATAATTCCTTTTACTTACCTTAACTGCAGAGAGAACTGCCCCCCCCCCATTTTATAATATATTCCAAGAAAATGACAGCATCAGTTGTTCCCTGAAAACAATGTGTTTATGTTCAAGTGACAAAGCCCTCTAGCAGCCACTGTGATTTATAACAGTTTTGGAAGGCACAAACATACGATGTCTTCCTGCTGATAGACGCATCAGATAAAAAAAATGCTTATATATGTCACTCTGGAGGTTACAAACAATGTATTTTGTTGTTTGTTTTATTCGTATTTTTTAAGCAAAACTCATGTTTGACCAGTCAGAGGCATCCCTTTTATTCAAAATGTTGTTGGTAGCAATTTAAAGGTATTTACAGCCGCTATTTTTCACACAAAATGATACCTCTCTCTTTTGTCCTTCTGCCATTCTCCCTCTTTCTCTGGTTGAGTTGAATAAACTTGGATGACAAATGAACTCAAACACATAGTGAGGACAAGGACTTCATCTTGTCCTCACTTTACATGGAAAAGTCCTTGTATCTATGCATCTGCCTCAACCCCTCCCTTTTATCTTCCTCGCCCATCTATCTTTTCTCCTCCCCTCCCATTACATAACAGCTCAGCTCTGTCCTTTTTTAACTTCTCTCTAACTTTCATGCAAACTTTTCACTCTGCCCCCACTCTCAAATCTACGTACACAACCGCCTCTCCCGTCTTCTTCCATTTTTTTGATTTCTTTTGATTGTTTTTACCTGCTTCTTCCACCTTGTAACAGCCTTTGTCTCTTCTTTCTATAACAAGAAAAAATGCCTTTCAGTGCACTCTTGGCTCTCTCTAGCCCTCTTTTACCTCCCACTCTCCTTTTTATTTACCTGCACCTGTCTATAGTAGATGCTTTTATCCAGAGTGCCTGCTTTGAGCTTATACTTTATTAATATAGTATCTCTTTGTAAAACAGACCATATATGCAATGTTTCAACTTACAATTTGGTGGCAGCTTTTCACTCAAACATGCTCAAAATGCTCACTCATGTTCAACAGGATTTTTAGTTTTTCAGGGTGAACTTTTTTAATACTCCATATGTTAACAACTGGAACCTCTGGCGCTGTTTTATGAGTGCAGACCATTCATTTCTTCCTGCAGACTGTTTTACAAGTTTTATTGAAGAAGTCCACCAAATTAAAGTATGTCGTAAATGCTTTCTAAAATTGTTTAATAATTCCAACAATTATTGTTGGAAAATAGATTAGTTTTATTATGTGACAATGCTTTGGTTAATGTTTATAGGTTTAGGCACAAAAACAAGTTGGTTTAGGTTTGGGGAAAATTATGGTTTGGGTTAAAATAAGTACTTTGTTAAGGTTAGGGTTACACTTTATAAGGTAACACTTTTAAACATAAACAGGATATTAACAGCCATCTCAGCCATGTTTTGTTGATCCAATCATCAATCCAAGCCAGATCCATACACAGACTTTAGCAGCCTTAGTATGTTTTATAATGTGACAGAGGGCTTTGTCACCTGATCATAAACATACGTCGTTTAGAGGCACTGATGCTGTTGTTCTTCTTGGGAGGACAGAAACTCAGAGACTGAGACTGAACCATTCTGCCAATGTGCCGTTAAACCAAAACAATAAGCTAAGAGGCCATTTGATTCTACATAAATATGAAATAAAATCAATAAGTAGCATTCAAAACCTTAGACTTTAATAAACCAAGCACACTCACACAGTATGTAGCTCTCACTATAATTGCTCGCACATATACACACACGCTGGAATTCTCCCCAGAGGGCCGATGTGGCTGTTGCAATGATAAA